AGTTTACTCGCAATTTTCTCGGGTGAAACATACTTCCTGTATAAGACCAACTGTTTTGCTGGTCTTGCGAGAGGACACAGCCTCAGGTAACCGATTTATTTCTATTTTTCTGGGGTGCATCTACTTTTCAACTGGCACTCAAGAACAAAGGCTGGGTGGGGTGTTGGGGGGGGGGGGGGGGTAGGGGTGCGCGGATTATTCCTGGAATAATTTGGGAATACTATCGTTGAGAAAATTTTGGGAATTTTAGGGGAATTCTATCGATCTTTTGCGAGATCTATTGACCTTCAGAAGAGTTTTCGGGGAATTCTGTCAATTTTGACCTGCCAGAGGCCCAGAGAACAGAGAACAAGCACGCATCCATGGACGCAGCAGCCTGAGTATAATAGTAGCTGTGTAAAGACATAAATAAGTCATGTACATCTACAATTGTAGTACATGTAGTGTAGTCTGTAGATCCTGCATGCAGTGATCACGTGCCTGACCGTCCATTTTGCATACTAAAGAGCATGCGCAAGGCACGGTTCGTGCTGGGGTTCTTTTTTTGGGGGGAATTCTGAAGAATTTTTTCGATGTTTTGGGAGAATACTTTCGAAGTTCCGCGGGAAATGCCCGAAAGCATAATATCGGGTGCGTGCGAGCATAATCCGCGCACCCTTAGGGGGGCATACAAAAATGGTTTCGTATTGAAGAACAAAACAATTTTTGTTAAACCCTTCGCAACCCAAATCCAACTAGCTTTAACTAAGCAGCCATCTTCATCGACCATTTAGAAAGAAAATTGTACAGTCACATATACTTCAAAAATGCATATTATTGTGGTCCGCAATGTTCCACTCGCTTCCGCAACCAGCATCCGATGCATTCCCGCTTCTCTGTTACCGTAAAGGCGCGGATAAAAGCCGGGTTTATAAGCACATAAGCCGCTTTCTGCATCAGGCTTTAATGCAAACCAAGCTTGTATGCAAACCATGCTTATATGCTCCACTGATATTTTTGCCAGGCTTGTATGCCAGGCTTCTACGCGCGACACGCGTGGATCTACCACTGACTACGGGTATGGCAGCAGTTTTACTATGTACCGTACATAGCGCATGCACTCTTGACCTACCCGATCCGCGCTTGCATAGAAGCCAGGCTTCTACGCGCGACAGGCTTATACCGGTATGCATTTGACCCGTTTGATTTTCAGGCTTCTATCTACGATGTGCTTGTATGCAAACCCGGCTTTTATCCGCGACTTTACGGTATGTTGATCATAACATTCTCCCTTGCAGCCTGAGTAATAATAATACTACTATGCTCTGCTGGTATCTGGGTTGTGGCATGCCATCGTTGCTACTATCAAGCTCTCACTCCAACAACACACACACAACACACATTGATTCTATGCTAGCAGTTAGCACTGCCTGACCTTTGGTCTTGCTTAAACACATGTTCCTCATCTACACTAGAGCGCAGAAAGTATCTTTCCAAAACACTGTCTTGAAGCAAAGGAGTAGAACACCTATCACCACATGCTGCCTTCAAACTGGCCAAATGCAATTGTGATAACATGCAGTGACTTAATACAGCTTCATGTTAGAGACCATGGTATTGTTTACACTGAAAATGCGGTGCATTTAAAAACAATTAGTACTGAAAGTCTTTGGCGCTACTAGTCATGGTGAGCAAAGTGTGCAGTGTTAACAATTGTGGCAATGAAGGTTGGCAGTGCTGACTGTTTGTGCTTCAACCTGTGTGCTGAGATGAATGGCGCAATGCTCATGACTGACTGTATCAGGGTTTCAATGTTGCAATGACGGCAAAGACATAAGTTCCGTACTCCGGAACATTTCGCTGCTCGAAAACGACGTATAAAAAACCGTAGCGCCTCTACGGATTTTGGCACGAAAAATCGTACTCCGGAACCTCTCTAATGTGGCAGGAATACTTCTTACCGTGTTGCAGTGCAGACTCGGCCCAAGGATGGTTGTCTGCAATGTCTTCAGCGTGAAGGTGGAGGAGGCAGGTTTGATGGCCACCGCATTCGCACTGCTGAGTCGTAACACCCTCTCCACCTGGGAGTAGTAAAATTCCGGTATTTTACTACTCCTGGCAGGCTTCGCTCCACCTGCACCCTCGGCTCCAGACTTTCTGATCCTGCACGGCTGCAGCGGGAAAGCATGAGCAGTGAGATACAGATTGGCACTTGGATTGAGTCTGGGCATGCACATCGTCGATCTTACATCCTACTCCACACCCTAGCAAACCGAATGCCATGATTGTAATTTTTAGCGTCTGCTACGAAATAAGTTTCCAACTCACTTACCTACAATGGCTATAAATGTAACAAAGGGCACTTGTAGATCTACCGGCAGTCGTCGTCACCGCATGCAGACTTCGGCCACGATCGCGCGATCTGTTCACACTCGTGCGGTGACTTTACAGGAGCATTCGTCAGTTGGCACAGCGTAGATCTACCGGGCAAGGAAAGGGTAGAACTAATTACTTCCACTCTGAAAATTCGCACCGAGGACGCTAAAATGTGGTAAACCTAGCAGAATATTTACATTCAGTGCTCAGCTCAGCTCAGGACAACTAGTCTATGAGTATGACGTGGATCTGCCCTTATCAGGCTGTGTGGCTACATTAGAAGCAGTAGACGGTCTGGGTTCTACACAGGAGGTTGGTTTACGTCGCACAGAGCAGAGATAGCAAGATTCATAACCATGATAACTACACTGAAACTAACGAAACTAGAGACTCGGTAAAGTGAAATGCTGTGTGTCGCGTCCGCCCCAAGCAAAGGCGTTCCTCAGTTGGACTTGGTTTCCGCTCGAACTAGCACTTACTACTTAGCCAGAAGTCATGCATTCATGCAGTCATGCATTGTACTGTAGAGTGTAGTTGTAACATGCGCATGAGACCGACAAGAGCGCGCATGCAGTCTACACTACAGCTAGCCACCCAAGCAACGGCCGACCTGGTAAACTGTCGAGGCTACCATGGCTACAGGGTTTGTACTGCAGTTCTGTAGCATAGCGCCGGTTTTACGGAGTTCTACACATAGATTTTGTAGTCCAGTTTGCATGGCTTGTGCCTAGGCGCCTGGTGCCTTGTGCTGACTTGGATGATCGATGGTTAGTTGAGGACAGGTTTCTGACTTGTTGCACAAGCTGCAGAGTGCAGGGGAATTTTTTGGTGTGCGTGCTACTGCAGTCGAGGACTAGGATTCGCGCGTTCACAGTTTCGGTTCTTCTCCAAAGCAGCAGCCAGGATCTCCGACAAGTGAGATTGACAGCAAGACTGACAGCAAGACTGACTCTGTGGAACACGTAAGTGCATGCACATGGTTAGCAGCTACATGTACAATGTACTGGATGCACTTACAAACAATACCACGTAATATGAATTCTGGGCCCAGGGGGCTAGCACACCAGAAAATACGGTACACCTAATATCCGATGATGCGGCTCTGTGCAGAAATGTAGAATGCATGCATTGTCGTCTTGGCAGGACATGTTCCACAGACCACTGAATATATCTGTGAATAACGGTGCTGTGGCCATACAGCCTGCCTAGTGCAAGTTTTTAGATGTACCATGATGTACAGGGGAAATACCAGCTGATACTAGTGCATGGCAGAATGGCACAGCTGTGGGGGCATGTATCAGAACAGGTATTGCCCACGACTGAATGCGTTCAAGTGCAGTAGAACGCCGGTTATCCGGATGTCAACTATCCGGATGATCGATTTTCCGGATTATCGATTTTCCGGATTGCCTGGTCGGGCTGGACAAAACAATTAATTAGCTGGTTCTTCGAGGTTTTTGCTGATTTCCCCTACTCGGGGCACCATTCAAGCGATGCACAAGATGTATTGAAACAGGTTGGAGTCAAAGTGTATAACGATAGTGTCATTTTGAAGAGCTGAAGTGCGCCTTGTTCCTGTTGTGCTGCCGAAAAGAATGAAAAATGATGAGAACATGCGGGAATATGCATGTTTTAGATAGATGTGTGACTGCTCCCATATCCAACATATTCTTCTCATCCGAACTCCCTGGAGACAGCCTGCGCACCCAAGGGGTGCGGATAATCGGCACACTACCGTATTTCACTTCAAACTTCAGCAACACAGGGAGGCTAGTGTGTGATCACATCATCAGTTCAGATGGTCTGTATGTGTGAGCAGCTAAGCTGTGGTAGGGCAGCAATGCACTAGTAATGTGTGGTTCTTTCTAGGGCTCAAACGATTAGTCCGATTAACCGGTTGCAGACCGGTTACGAAGAATTAACGGTTAACCGATAAAGATAACGGTTACGCAGTAACTTTTCAGTCAATTTTTCAAGTATCAGGTCGTTGCAAAGTGTGCACTTTCGCGGGCTGTCGCACGTGTACGCAATTTCTGGGCTGTCAACTCGGTCATATCTGGTCTCTTGGTGTGAGAGTATGTATGAATGAGCATGCAAGAGAATGTACACGTGTGCGTTGTACTGAATAGGGTACATTTTTTGAATGAGTATAGTCAAATATACAGTTAAAAAAGAGTCCGCAGGATTGCCGTGGCTTATAGGTTATAACCGGTTAACCGACCGTTAGCTAAGGCTGTCATCACACCATGGTACAAAGCGCTGCGTCTACGTCCACGTAAGGAGTTTTTGGTCGGTTGTCATGATGATCCGTATACGGGGTGAAAACGGGAGCAGAGGAAACGGGAGACGTAGACGTGGTATGGAGAGGGGGGGTATACGACTTTTTGTATGAACGTGCGTATCTACCCCAGCCTTTTTCCGAGCGACCCTGTACTTCGATGTACGTGGGTTCAAATTTCTCCAAAAACCTGACTGCGTGTACGCGTCAAGAACTGTGCCTGTCTGATGACACGACCACCCGTTTTGGTTTTTTCACCATAGACGTAGACGTAAACGGGAGTCGGAGAACGTGGTGTGATGACGGCCTTAGCAGTTAACCGTCAGGGGTAAAACCGTGACCGTTTGAGGAGGTATATTATGCTCGGCAGGCCGCGAAAGAGAGCCCGTTACCTGGACCCCTACTCGCGCGGGTAGAGCGAAACTGAGCACCCTGGGATGCGAGCAGCTTTTTAGTACTCCCGGGTCCAAAATCTCACCACCAGGCCGGGATGATCAAAACGTCAGCCGGGTCTGCAGCCTACAAACGTGGATCTGCCGACACTGTGCTGTCGACGACATGTCCGGCAAGGCACCTCCTTGCGTGAAACTTGAAGCAAGGAACGCTTTTTTTTTAGAAAGGAAGCTTCTTCTCCAAAATTTAAAATTTTTGAAAATTATTCCTTCTGAAAATATCATCGCGTTCTTGACCTCGAAGCTGACTGCTGAATGCGATTAGGAAAGAAGATTCCTGAAGATACACCAGACTGATTCTGGCAAGCCGTCTGTCGTCTAGATATGCAGTTGTTCGTCATGCATGGTCAGCAATCTTCCTCGTTCGTCCTTTCGTTTTCCTGACCACGATGATGACAAGCAGCTCTCATGCTCAGGTTAGTGCTGTACTTGTATGTCTGGGCACACAACACATCTGAGATTCACCCACTGACGTTATCGAACTGAAGAATGCAGCAAGGGTTCCTCGGATTCTCTTGATTTCGGAACAAATTTCCTTCACTTTCACCCTCTCAGTCTCTTCCCCATGCCCTCCATGCATGCACAATGCAGCTTGCATTTCAATTGCTGTTTTTTATACTTTGGCAGTGCCTCTGCTACACTTTCATATAGAGTGAGGTCCTGTAAATAGGATCGAACATTGTTGGTGGTGGTGCGTGTGGGGGGGGGGGGGGGGTACGTTTGCAGCCAGGATGTAGGAATGACACTTCTGCACAGCAGGTGGCAATAGTCAAAACTGGTCACTCTACAAATCCCATACCTGCCAACCTTTGCAAACCTGAGATCCAATGACATACCTAGGCATGAAAATGTATACAAAAGAAGCTCGCGGTGAGGCATGGAACTAGTGCACTTTTGGGTGCCTATTACCGCCCTCGATATCGGGACGGTCCCGGCCAAATCGGGATGGTTGTCAGGTATGAAATCCCAACCGAGAAAACCATTTAATTAAAAGATAAACTCGGCCAGGACATAGCGACTTTCTGTTTGCCGGGGGGGGGGGGGGTCATCGTCCGCAATATTGGTAGAGTTACGATTACATTGTATATGTACATGTAGATACATGTGCATCAGGGATTCATAGCACCTGGGGAGACGACATGAGACCTAAGTACCCAAAACGTTGTGAGTTGTGACCCCGGATGGGGTAGTTCTACGTGATCTGTGTTTCTATAGACCTTATTCGATAACATGATTTTTGGACTCGCCTCCAGGGATTTGTTGTAAGCTGGGGCACGCGTACGTGAAACGAGTGGCAAGAAAGGCCCAGTTCGTACAAGGGAGTAGTAAAATACCGGTATTTTTCTACTCCTATGTTCCCACGCCGAGTCCACTGTGCACTGAGTGCAGGTCTCTTGCCGCTCCCTGGTTCCCGGGACCCTGGTTCACGTGATTGTGACGTTTATTGAATAAGGTCTACATGTATATGCGGGCATGCATAAATCAACCCTTCCACAAGGACGGCTCAAACAGGCAGCCAAGGAGTGAAAATTTCGCTCCTGGGGCTAGGAGTGAAACGAAGGCCTCCAGATGAACCTTCTCCATCAAAACGAACGAAGGTGTCGAATAATTCTTTTACCAGTTCACAGTTGCCGTTCACGCGCACTCCCCGGGGGTGGGGGGGGGGGGGGGGGCTACTATGCACTTGTAGTGATACTTACCGTAAGCCAAGTGGAACACGACTAGTTGACTGCACAGACTACAGTACAGTATACATGCACATGTATACAGTGAAGATCAGTGCGTGCATGCCTGCCATAATCGTATGTTGACCTTCGTTCGAATTGAAAAGAGAGGGTCGTTTCGAAAAAGAAAAAAAGCTCGATGGAAGTATGATGCTGCTGACAATTCAAGACTCACTGAAGTCGCCTTTCTGGAATGGATCATGCACTCTAGGTTCATCCAATTGGATATGGACTCAAATCATTGTTACACCATTATTGTTTGGTTAGTTATTGTACATCCCATAGCATGTACAATCAACCTTGTGAATAATCTACCTCGGGTTTACAAAACAACTCGCAAATAACGACACAATCTTCAGATCTAGTGAACATTTGATTGCATACTTCCAACCTCACGAGTAACAACAATGCGAATAGCGACACTTTTCTCATTCACAATCGAGGGTCAGTATTCCCCAGGTTGACTGCAATTGCCAATCAAACAGGAGGGGCGAAAGTCGACCACGGCTGAAAAGGCATAAAGAAAAATTAATGTATATCATGAGCTAGATGGCTGAAGGAGGAAGTAGGTTTTCTGAGAAAGCAAGAAACAGAGGTGAATGAAGCACCAGGTCTGTCCATGCAGTGGATAGAATTATTGCATTGAAAGACAGGCTCTTTACATCAGCTTGCTACTATTATACCTACATTTGCTTTCTGCCTTTTTCATGCAGGATTCTGAAAGCTGGAGCAGCTCTGCTTACCTCGACCACTGAACTTACAACTAACTTCCAACCAAGTACAAGGCAATATTATGATGAATCAAGCACGCTTGCCATCATGTCATCATTGCAAAGTACATCGACAACATAGATTTGGTGCCGACTATGTATGATGTAGAGTGTGCTCTATGTATCTATACTACTGATTGGCCTACATTGTACTTATGTGGGCTGAGAGTAATCGATTGTGCTATATGGCAGTTTACTTGTATGTCATAGATGTTAACATTGCACACAGCTTCTGAAATGCTTTCTGTTGCACTGGCCTACTGCGGCCCACTGCAAATAGATTGTAGTGGCATGGGCCATGCCATAATTATAGTAGTATACCGGTACTACACCAACAATTTCACTGGTGCACTGTACTTACTGGTACGAGTAGATCTACATCATGCACAGCCTTGTCACTGCTTTTCTCATTTTTTATTAATTTACTGTACTGTACACATTTTGGCACAGCTCTTCCACAAAGAGTTACTAGTATTTTCTTCTGCATACCTACTGTATACAGTGACCTGACTGGTAACATCTATGGCTGTGGAATCACAAATTTCTGGGTTGACAGCCTCGAACCTATACGATTTGTTTCTAAGAACGTGCTATAAGAAGTTTTCTATTGAAGTATTCTACTGTAGCTCGCAGGACATGGAGTGCAATTACGTAAAGTTTGGAACACCACTCTTCTGTGATTTGGATGTCAAATTATGAAATTCAGTGTGTGAGGTAAACCCATGCATGGCATACACTGCTATAGTATGACTCGGGGTAAAGTGTTCCAACGCATACTCATTATAGTGAATAGTTGTGTGACCAACGTTGTTGCTGCTGGATAAATAGTACATATTCTGAGATAACTGAAGCTACACAGCCATCTAATGTTCAGACATGCATCGAAGGGGCCGTAACGAGATCTGCAAGGCATGATTCTATACCTGTATTTGATGCTCTCTAGCCTAGGACATTCACCTGCCTCATTTTCTCTGTGCTGCATTGATGAGTCCATTAGTAACTAAAGGACGAAACAGCATGCTGTCTGCAGATTGGTAATTGTGTAAAGACAGACGTGTATGTAGTGGTAAAGCTCAGATACATGTGCAACATAACAATCCCGGTGTTTGACAACAGCACAAACCTACACCGCAATTCTTAATTTTGGGCTGTGGTGTTCTTAGTATTCCAGGTTGGATGTTCTGTAGGCTTCCACGTTCTTGGGCGCACGACTTTACTGTGCCGAAGAATATTTTCAGCCAATGAACCCAGAGCTTGGTGGCAGATGAGTGCCATGGAACAGCCTTTTGCATGTGGCTTTCACTACATGCACATGTATAACGTTCAATTGATGCGGAAAAATCAGACGAGGACTTTTGCAGTTATGAGCAAGGTCCCCACGAATGGTCATGTCACTTCACAGAATACATGAACTGATAGAGTAGACCTCGGTCCCCTCAGAGAACGCTTGGGGAAGTCGGGTTCAACCATAGATTTATACTTAACAGAGAACGCTTGGGGAAGTAGGTTTCAACCATAGATTTATACTTAATATTCTTTACAACAAGGATCGATGTGTTCCTTCGGATGCCCTTTATCGACTTTCACACACTTCTCCTCTCTCCTTTCGTCATAAGCACCATCTCTGTACACTGGTTCATAAAATATTTCTTCATAAAACCCCTTCACACATAATGGAGTACAATTGGTTTTCGACAAGCTCAACCCGTAACGCGCTTATCCTGCCTCTTGTTAAGTCAGCCCGGTATCTAAAGCCCCCCTTGTTTTCCGGTTATTCTCATTGGTTAACTGGGGACATGTCCAAAACCATACTAAGTACTTGAGCTGCTCATGAGCCCCACAATTATCAGGCCCGCCGGTCTGGTTGGTCAGGTTATCACCAGACCAACTTGTTGGCCACCAACAAACGTTTCCTACCGTGGAGGACGTGTGTACCCGCCATGAAACTACCGGACCAATCAAAAACTGCTTCCGGCGGTACTGATTATAGTACAGGTTTAAGTTAAAAAGCGGCTCCATTTTGTCATACATTAAACCAACTCTGTCATTGCTATGCTACTCAAAAAGAGTAGTGATGTTTATTCACAAATGAATCACAATGCTATCAGAGAAATTCGATATTCTCCAATTTTAGGGGCACTGCAATACTATCCAAAATTAATGCTGCATGGTCATTGTTATGAAGCAGTCACCTCAGTACAGCAATTAAACAGGCTGATTATGTGAACGAGATTCACGGCAAATCTTCTTCCATCAGTGCTGTTCAGTCTTGAGTGGTCCACTGAGACAGGAAAACAACCTGTTCGGTCCTTCCATACGAGAAACAGAAATTGAACATGTTCCAGGGTGGAGGTGGCGAGTATCGGCAATGTAATGCACCTTTAGGCCAACATGACCATCATTCCGACATGGATTCTCAAACACCTTCGCTCGTGAGAGTGCCTCAGAGTGGTATTCATCAACAGATGGCAATCCTGTAAAACACATGAAAAGACATAGCAGCAACAGAAAGAAACCTAATGTTATAGAAACGAATTCGAAAAACAAAGTCTACTATTATTCTAATACAGTGAACCAAGGTACAACCACACTCCAGGAGGCAAGCAAAAGAGCATATAATCCGAAGGTTGCGATGCCTGTATGTATTGTATTTATGTATTTACGGATTCTCCACAGGCTAAATCGAGGGAGTCTTTGTCATGCCACACTGGATACAACATGCTACCAGAATCACTTTCCCCAGAATTGATGATCTTTTCTTAGGGTGTTATATAAGACACATCTGTAGCCACTTCATCTTGCTCACGAAATCATACACCACCACACAAACGGGTCCTTCGGCTATTATACTTTGGGTGGTACATGGTGATGTATGATATTGATAATCTATTGATACCATATTCAAGTCTGACTCTCACCGTGAGATCCTGGCAACAGTATTACCTGGTACACGACATATTCAGACACTGACATAAGCATCTTTTTGGAACAACAGGTGTGCCTATCTGCTAGTGTAATGTGACACACATGCAGAACACATGCAGAATCAGTCATAGCTAATTTTACCCCCTCACTGTTGTATGCGCAGACTCCACTTCGCGGTGTCAAGTACTCTTCTTTCGGTGGGCTACTCCACTAAGGCGCTTGTCTAAAAGGACTCACATTCATCCTGCAAACCAACACGACTTGCATAGTTTTCACTGTCGGCCAAAGTGCGTGCATTGCACACATTGAGATTCACTCCCTCCGTACAGGCCAGTACAGAGCTGCCCACCAATTGAGTCTGTTTTGCGTACTCAGACTTCTGATTTTCCGTATCTTGCAGTGTTTTGCGTACTGCCGTGTACATTGCATGCATACTTGCACTGTAATGTTTTTTTGACACGCACATGCATGTCGGTGGCTGCATTTGGTAGTGTAAAACATGTGTGATTTGCACTCACGACATTATTATTTTTGTGCTACATGTACATGTTGTTGTGGTACGGCATGCACTCGCTTTGGTACAAGACTATTCATCACTCAGCTTACACTTGCAATGCTTCTACACAGCTGATTGATCCTCTCCGATTTTCTATACCATTTGCTCAATTTCTGTAGTGCGCACAAGGAGTGATTTTCCGTACAAATACAGAAAATATGGAGGGCTGGTACTTGGTAGCACTGCTAGTATGGTAGTACCAGGCTAAGCTGGCTGGAAGATCAAATACTTCTTTGGTTCTTTCAGTCATTTTCACGACATATGTTTTCTTTATCATGATCCCCGGGGTGTGACATTCTTATGAATGCAGAAACTCAGTCTTTCTAACCGAGTCTCACGTGCAATGTGAATTTGTTCTTCTTTTCTTCACAATGCCATGTATCGATTCATCGCCCACCCGAGATCCTATGCAACAGCGATTTAAAGATTGGCTTTATCAAATAGTTAATTCAGAGAGAGAGGATCAGTTGTGGATGCTGTGACAGCATAGAGTGTAGATTGGTGTAAACATCATTGCCCAGCAGAACCGTATTCACAGGGATCTGCGTTTAGCATATGGAAGCTATTTTTTTAGAATTTGTACACGTCCAATAAGCCTGAAGAGAAGAACACCTAACTTAGACTGTCCTAACGTTATCGAACGCACTGCCAAAGTAAAAACAACATTTGAAATGCAAACTCGATTGTGCATGCATGGAGGGCATGGGGAAGAGACTGAGAGGGTGAAAGTGAAGGAAATTTGTCACAGTCCGAAATCAAGAGAATCCGAGGAACCCTTGCTGCATTCTTCAGTTCGATAACGTCAGTGGGTGAATCTCAGATGTGTTGTGTGCCCAGACATACAAGTACAGCACTAACCTGAGCATGAGAGCTGCTTGTCATCATCGTGGTCAGGAAAACGAAAGGACGAACGAGGAAGATTGCTGACCATGCATGACGAACAACTGCATATCTAGACGACAGACGGCTTGCCAGAATCAGTCTGGTGTATCTTCAGGAATCTTCTTTCCTAATCGCATTCAGCAGTCAGCTTCGAGGTCAAGAACGCGATGATATTTTCAGAAGGAATAATTTTCAAAAATTTTAAATTTTGGAGAAGAAGCTTCCTTTCTAAAAAAAAAAGCGTTCCTTGCTTCAAGTTTCACGCAAGGAGGTGCCTTGCCGGACATGTCGTCGACAGCACAGTGTCGGCAGATCCACGTTTGTAGGCTGCAGACCCGGCTGACGTTTTGATCATCCCGGCCTGGTGGTGAGATTTTGGACCCGGGAGTACTAAAAAGCTGCTCGCATCCCAGGGTGCTCAGTTTCGCTCTACCCGCGCGAGTAGGGGTCCAGGTAACGGGCTCTCTTTCGCGGCCTGCGGAGCATAATATACCTCGTTTGAGCCCTAGTTCTTTCCCTCTTTTTGCCACTCCATTCTTCACACCCATAACAATAATTATTAGTGATTCCATTATACTCAGTGCACATAAGCAAGTCTGCTGAGTCACTGCTCAGTGACGACCGTGACCCGATTCAAACACATCATATGATCAAGAGTCCATGGGGGTTATGGACTCTTGATATGATGCATAAGTAGTAGTGGTAGGTTGCACTTTTTGAAGCTCCCGTAAATCTTTCCTGGTAGAGCCCAGCCGGCATCAGGCCGGACTGGAGGTAGTTTCCGTAGGGTAGCAGTAAGTGTTTCTAGTAGTGCTCGTAGAAATTGGTGACCTCCGCCATGCCTGGGGCCACCACGAGAACAAACACTCGCGCGACTGCCCTGAGTGACGAAGAGCTGAGGCTGATGGCGTCGTTGCCGGGCATTGAGTTATCTGTAGTAGAAATCCTGAAAACATTGGCCGCACTTGTCTCGGAATCGGCTGATCGGGAGACGCGCCTAAACAAACGGGTTGACGAGCTGTCAAGGCAGCTCAAAGATGTGAACGAAGAGTTAGTGTCTCTCCGAGAATCCGCCATTGCCTTGCGAAAAGCTACCCCAAGGCCAGTTCAAACACAGCAAGGTACGGGTGCGGGTCAACCTT